GAGGTTTAAAAAGTGGCCAATCTTGGCCGCCAATCGTCGCAGATCAGCGGCAAAGATCGGCCACTGTTTTGAATGACTTCTGGCGGGAAACCGAATTCGCGCAGTGGGGGAAAACGCATCCCGCGTTCAACCCAGCTCACGTCCAGTCTGTGCAGCCGCTCCGTCGTCGCCACGGACAGCCAGCCCCGCCATGGTCGCCACCGCCAGCCAGCCGCACCATCACTCGGTGCAGCCGCGCCATCGTAGGTAGGTCTCCGCAGGGTGCATCATCGCCATCGTCGCCTCCGCCAGCCAGCCGCGCCATCGCACCCCCCGCCGACGAGCCACTCCATCACTCCCCCAGGTTTGTTTCTTCTTCTTCTTCTTCTTCTCCGTGGTCACTCTCCTCGCCCGTTAGCCATAGCCGTCCTCCGGTTCTTCTTCTTCTTTTTCTTCTTCTACCTCCTCCGCCTCTTCTAGTCCTCCTCTCTTAGCCATCGGCTTGCGTTCTTCTTCTTCTTCTTCCTCCTCCTCCTCCTCCCTTCCTCCTCTTCTTCTTCTCCTCCCTCTTCTTCGTCATCTTCTTCTTCTTCTTCTTCCTCCTCCTCCTCCTCCTCTTCTTCTCTCCCCTCTTCTTCGTCATTTTCTTCTTCCTCCTTCTCCTCCTCTTCTTCTTCTCCTGTCTTCTTCGTCATTTTCTTCTTCTTCTCCCTCCTCCTCCTCCTCCTTTTCTTCTTCTCCTCCTCCGTTAGCCATAGCCGTTAATTTATTTTATTTTATTTTTTTCGTTGCTGCTTCAAGCCTTCAACTCCATTGCGTTCTTCCTCTTCTTCTCCCGCCTCCTCCTCCTCCTCTTCTTCTCTCCACTCTTCTTCGTCATTTTCTTCTTCCTCCTCCCCCTCCTCCTCATGTTCTTCTCCTCCCTCTTCTTCGTCATCTTCTTCTTCTTCTCCCTCCTACTCCTCTTCTTCTGCTCCTCCTCCGTTAGCCATAGTTTTTTTTTTTTTTTCCGTTGCTGCTTCAAGCCTTCAACTCCCTTGCGTTCTTCTTCTTCTTCTCCCTCCTCCCCCTCCTCCTCTTCTTCTCTCCCCTCTTCTTCGTCATGTTCTTCTTTCCCCTCCTCCTCCTCCTCTTGTTCTTCTCCTCCCTCTTCTTCGTCATCTTCTTCTTCTTCTCCCTCCTCCTCCTCCTCCTCCTCTTCTGCTCCTCTGTTAGCCATAGTTTTTTTTGTTTTTTTTTTTCGTTGCTGCTTCAAGCCTTCAACTCCCTTGCGTTCTTCTTCTTCTCCCTCCTCCTCCTCCTCCTCCTCTTCTTCTCTCCCCTCTTCTTCTCCATGTTCTTCTTCCTCCTCCTCCTCCTCCTCCTCTTGCTCTTCTCCTCCCTCTTCTTTGTCATCTTCTTCTTCTTCTCCCTCCTCCTCCTCCTCTTCTTCTTCTTCTCCTCCTCCATTAGCCATAGCCGTTAAATTTTTTCTTCTTTTTTTTCGTTGCT